GGGACACTGCTGTGCTTTTAACATTGCATGGCAGAGGGCAGCAGCATTCCCAGATTTCTTTTATCATATCTCATAAAGACACCCTGGAAAGAGGACTTCCAGAGCTGCTTCAGAAGGTGGCAAGAACAAGGGAAGAATAGTGTTCAACGTGAGAGCTTTAGGGGGATTAATAGCATTATGTCTTTTACTGTAATTTTTTTTTTTTTTTTTTTGTATTTTAGGGAAGGATCTACAGGGTGTTCAGGGTGTCACTACTAGATCGGACTCGTAGTGATCCGCCTGTTTACAGCCTCCCAAGAGCTGGGATTACAGGCATGTGCTACCACACCCAGTCTCAAGTGTCATCTCAGTGCGCCCCAGAGGCGGGACCAGCATAGCAGGCCTGGGGATCGAACCCCTGGCCCCTTTGCCTACTTGCAGGTGCTTTAATCCACTGAAATGTTTGGCTGGCCCTTACTGTAATTTTTAAATAATTAAATGTAATTACAAGTAATTAAGCCCATGATTTTATTGTGTATAATAAAATTTATTAATCAATTATTGCTATAAAGTGCAATATTTATGTAGTACCGATCACTGAAAAGTAGATTTTACTGTGTGTTAGGTGTGCGTGACTCCACTCCAGGAGGGCTGGTGCGGGCACTGGTCTGAGCAAAGAGCCACACGTCACTGCTGAGATGGCCTGGCAGAGAGTGGCGAGTGGCCCTGTGCGCCGTGTGACCTTGCACATGCAGCTGCCCTTGGTGGGGCCTCCGTCTCCTTTTCTGGACACACTCCATGCAGGATGGCTAAATTGAGCATGGTGCCACGACTTCTGGGTCTCTGGAGGCAGTATCTGCGCATGTGAGGGTCAGGAATAGTGGGAATTGGCCCAAAGGCCCATCCTGCAGGTACGTGGTGGGTTTAATTAAAAAGATTGAATGTTAGCAGAATTTCATGCTGTTAAAACCAGGGCTGTCCCTGGGCCTGAGGCTTGGTCACTGTGGTGCTGTGGGTGTGGCGGGCTGTGTCAGTGGCCTGTGAGTGTGGGTGCCTAACACACATGCATATATATGTTTGCAACCATGCAGCCAATCTTATCTTTTAAAAGAAAACAAACCCCCTGAGATTAGCAAAGTGATCACTGCAGAATCGGCACCCTGAAACCCCACCTCTGCTCAGCGCCAGAGGAGCCAGCACAGCACCTTAGCCTGCTGTTGGGGAAGAGGCGGGAAAGCTGGCCTCGTGCAGACCTGCCTGCGCCACCTCCGACTAGCGGGAAGGAAGCCGCTGAGGCTTTCTGGTGCCAGCAGAGAAGATGAATTAGGAACCAGGGCATTTCACAGAAGGTGTCCCAGATGCATCTTGAGCTCAGGTGTCCCCAGTCCGTGCGAATCTGGAATCTTGGAGACACAGCGAGAGAATGTAGTTCAGGGCAGTAAGACAACCAGTGAGTTTAAATCTCTAAAGTTTTACAGATTTGAACTGCGTTTTGAGATGACTCACACAGGGAGATCATGAGACAAGATAATCTTCCAAGTATTTTGGGAAAATTATTTTCCAGCACTTACTCTTTCATCTCACGTTCATTGAAACATGGGTGCTGGAGACTAATTTGCCTTCAGGGCCCCATAAGCGCAGACCGGAAGTGTGGCCTTTTGACTCCACTGAGTCGCCGACATTGAATGAGCATACTGACCCGCTAAAGCACGTAGTACCGTGCTTCCCATCATTGTGGCCAAGGCAGACAGGTGCTTGTCAAGACGCAGTCTCTGGGAGAGGTGGCTCCTTAAGTTATCTTTGATATGACATCCCTAACAGGCTGTCACCTTGATATGCTGACATCTTTGGATTCAGATGTTTCACTCGTAAAATGATGACATTAGATTCAAGGTCCCTCCAGCCGCTACAACAGTGTGAGAGTCGTCAGGTGCGTGTATCTTGGTTCACACTCATGAGTCAGCACAGTGCCTGCTCCATGGGTCGGAGGAAACGTCCAGGACGTCGGGGCCCTTTTAAGCGCGTGCCCGACAGAGCGCAGGGCGGCTTGCCAAGAGGAGGGAGCAGCCGAGTGCTTTTGGGAGCAGTTACACAGGCTGGCGCTGCGTCGATCCCTGTCGGTCGAGCTTCACTGTTAGGTAGGTTGGGTTGAGCCCTGAGTGGGTTAGTAAAGCACACTTCTGGGTGCCTGCAGGAGGGTCGTGAGGGTGGGATCTTGGCTTTGTCTTGTTCCTGACTGCAGCCTCTCTGCTGCCCCTGCTCTGCCAGCGCGAGCTGAGTGTGTTCCTGCTATGACGTTTTGCCTCAGAGCCCGCTGACCTTGGACTGAATGCTCTGAAGCCATGAGCCACGAAAATCTTCCGTCCCGGCTTCAGTGGTGGGTGTGAGGCACGTGTGTCCAATGATGGAAAGCTGACCAGGGCAGATGCCTGTGAGAGCAGCCCCCGCTCCTCTCTGCACTTGACCCTGCAGCCACCACTCCCTGGTGCCACCCCCAGCTCTGCACGGCAGCTCTGGGGTGGCCTGGGATTTTCTCTGTAAATCTTGGCGGTGTAGCCTGGTCCCCTTTCAGGGACTTAGAGTTGGCAGTGATCACTGATTAGCACAGACCGAGCACCCATGATGCGCCAGGGTATTCTCCACCTTGTTGCTGTTCAGTGGCTACTAAAGGGATGGCGTAGAGGGTGGTTAGAGGCTTGGGAGCACAGGCTGTCTGCGCCCCTTGAGTGCATGCCACCAGAGCCCCCAGCAGGTGCAGAGTCGGTCACCTTTTCCTGACTCAGGCCACGCATCGCTAAGGGAAGCACGTCAGAGGTTGCATAGCTGGAGCGGTGTCCCAGGCCTCTGGGAGATTGCACTCTACCTTGGTACCAGGAGGAGCAGGGTTTCTTCCCAGGCAGTAAGTCTCTTCTTGGAGGCGAAGGGAATTCACAATCCACCATGTTTTTCCACTTTTAAAGGAAGCACACGCACACGTCTGTAGTGTAGTGTCTGGGGCTTTCCGTGCAGCAGCAGATCTCCGTTGAAGCCACCTGTGTCAAAGGTGGCTTTCTGACTTCCCTAATAGCAAAGGCCTTGGGTGGGTGGGGTGGGGCAGGGCTTGGCATTGTCATTGGATTCTATTCTTTGTGATCTTTCTTTCTTTCATTTTGTAGTTTTAGGGAACAGTCCACAGGGTGTTCAGGGTCTCATCCGCCTGTGTACAGCTTCCCAAGAGCTGGGATTACAGGAGTGTGCCACCATGCCCAGTCTCAATTGCCATCTCAGCACGCCCCGGGGGCTGGGCTGGCCCAGGAATCGAACTCCCGGCCCTTGCACCTGCTTGTAGGTGCTTTAATCCACTGAGCTATTTGGCCAGTCCTTCTCTGTGATGTTTCTAAGGAGTTCTGGGCTCAATCCTATTGGAAAGAGGCTGTCCATTCTCAGGGGTACCCATTGCTCTTGTGATTAGGCTTCAAGGAAAATTAGGCTGTCTCCAGTGGCAGAGAGTGCAGGAGACAGTGTCAGGCTAAACTCCCAACACCCTGAGCCTTCATGTATCTCTGCGTCCTGGTTGCTGGCCCAAGTCTTAGTCCACTCTTCCCTTTTCTCACTTTCTAATCTGTTTGCTGTACTTTATGAATCATAAATGCACTAAATCTCTTTGGAACTAGGTGGAGGTGGCAGTTTGGAATTTACATGAATTCCAAATCTTACATTTGAGTCAGTGTTCCAAATGCAGGGAGTGTGTGTGTGTGTGTGTGTGTGTGTGTGTTAATGATGCCATAGGACACATGTGTGGCTCTCTAGAGGTGGGGAGGGCAGAGCAAGGGCCGAGGTTGTTAGTTCTGCTCGGTAGTTCTCAAATTTGCAGTTCAAATTATCACAATCTTGGTTAAGCAAAATTTTACATGGGCAGTCAAACATAAAAATCATTTAAACCATTTAAATCAATTAAACCATATTTTGTGTGGACAGAGTTTTCACTGTAAGGCTGTCCAAAGTACAAGGTACAGTGGTGAGATGTTGCTGTGTGGCAGACCTCACCCAGAGCTCAGCAGTTGAGAGCGGGCACCGCTGCATTTTCTGTGGGCTCCACGAGCAGTTTGCTGAGCTGAGCTTGGTGTGCCGCGGTGTGGGGCTCTGCTGGGCTGGTCTTGGCTGGACCCTCTGGAAATTCCGGGGTTGGCTGGCCGGTGGCGCTGATGGGGCAGCTGAACTTTTTCGTGTGACAGTTGTTCCTCTTCCAGTTGGTAGAGTTTCCAGAGAGGGGAACGTGCAGGAAGGCTGCTGGCCTCCCTCGTGCTGGGGCAGGGTGCCTCATCCCTGGACCGCCTTTTGGCCAGAGCCGATCCCAGGCACAGCCTGGAATCAAGCGTGGGGACATAGTCCTCACTCTTGCGTATGGGTCTGCCAGGGCCGAGTGGTAAAGGCGAGGTGGGAATTGGGCTCCTCATAGCAATGTCTGCCTAGTGACCTGTACACCCTGCCTGGTAGACCATAGGCAGAAAGTCTCTGGCAGCAAGAGAGGAAGGAATCTGGCCTCAAAGAGCTGTGGGGAAGGCCCAGCCCTGCCATTGCTGTTGTCCGGAGGGGGAGCGGTTAACCTCCTGAATTCCTGTGCTTATCTGACATAGTAGTCATTCAGTGTCACTGTGAGTGCCAGCGGTGCCTCTGAGATCCTCGGAGCCCAGGCCCTGTGGGCCAGCTTGTATCCCGTGAGCAGGGTGGTACCTGCCTTCCGGTCCTCCTGGCTGGTAGCTGGGTAGCTGCTGTTACCAGTGTGGGAGCTGTTGTTTTATTCTTCCTGCCCGCAAACCCCAAAGAGGATCATTTTCCCCAGCCTCAGGTTTTCTTCTGTTTGCCATCCTGGTTAATAAAGTGCTACTACTTTACTGATTTCTCAGAACGAAAAGGAAAGGACACATGGCTGTTATGTGCCACCCCGCCCCTGGTCCTTTCCACAACAGATATCCACTTCCCAAAGGTGTCTGAGAGGGTGGCAACGGCATCGTAGTGTTTGTAAAGCCCAGGACTGGCACATGTCAGGGAGTCCTGCAGACAGCCGTGTCGCTGACCCAGATCCCAGGTGAGCTTTTTCCTTTGGCCTCCTGGGCCCAGAGTCTGTGTTCTGCTTTTCTTAACGGTGGCTTTATATTTAGTAGTTTCTCATGTTGATGTTTCAAACCGTTGTCAAGTTGCCCCAGCCCTGCAGCGCGAGTGCTGACTGCTACTTTATAGCCCCATGAAGTAGTAAATTAGGAGGCCGAGTACTTAGTGTCTTAGGAACTTGAATACAGTTAATTGATTAGAGATGTATTCATGTTTTTCGGGAACAGAGGATGGCAGGATGTTGTTTTTGTAGTTTCGAGCCCTCTAGATAAAACTGTTTTTGTAATTTCTTGTGTTTCGCTTCGATTGTCTGATTAAGATGAAAGGCTTAAAATTTTATTAATGATTCCAGGGGCAAAGTGGCACTGAGGTCAGTGGTCGTTTATTTAAAGACCTTTTTATTTCAAGTAGAAGTGAGCAGACCTTAGAGATGGAAGTTAATCACCTTCTCTAGACTCAAAAGCATGTCTTTTGAGATCTGACCGAGGTAAAGAGGCACATAGATCGTATGTGAAGGATTTAAAACTCTCCAGTGTGCCACATGTGGGGCACTCGCCCTGGCGGAGCTGCTTGGCGCGGCCTGCGAAGGTGCAGCACTCGGCTGCTTGAGTCACCTTTGTGTAGCATCACGGGGGAGAATGACACCAGCATCAGGCGAGCGTTAAGAAGTGTACAGCAAGTGAATATCGAGAGAATATAGCGCTTTCAGAGTGAGTTAAGGCAAGTTTGTGGGGAGGTTGCTAACACTGTTTAAGAAGGGATGCTCCCCAGCTGATGGAGTTCATCTGAACATGCTGTCCTTATTTGGGGAAGATCCCTGACTGAGGGCGATGAGCTGAGGTGTTCATTCTCACAAGGCACCAGACGGGCCCTGCAGCGGCATCCCAGGAGTCCGAGCGTGGGTTCTGCCACTGCAAGCCTGTGGCTTGTGTCAGGTCGCTGACAGAGACTGAAGTCTTGGAAGAGGCGATTGGATCTAGCAAAAAGGCCCATAACCTGCGAGGACCGGGAGGGTTAGAGGGCCTCATTTGAGAGCTCACTTTCCCTCAGGTGGCCTTGTGGTCTGCTGTCATGTTCCCATTGGCCTCGTTGCTTCAGGCCTCAGCTTTGTGCAGCTTGGGCACTCCTTGTCCTGCCTCTGCTGCCGCCCCCGGCCTGGTCCTCCTTCTGATGAATACGCCCAGCTGCCGAGTCACTGCTGTCCTTCTGCCTCCTGTAATGGTGCTGCTGCTAAGCTGCGCATTCCTCCCGGGACGCTGAGAAAGCGGATGGCTCACTTCACGCAGGAGCGTTCTGTCCGGCCTCAGCTTCGTGCTCCAAGTCTGCCTTGGTGGTAAACATCTCAGCGATGGCAAGAAGATCCAAGGACTGGCTGCAAGCGTGTTACTTTCCAAAAATGGTGCTTCTTGAGGACTCCATGAGAAAGGCCAGAGGACGAGGGCCCTTGCAAGCGATGCCCTCCCCTCCTCTTGTGAATTCTCTCCCCAAGTCCTGGCAACAGAACAGAACAGAACAGAACAGAACAGAACAGAACAGAGCGCGCCCACCTGGGGTTTGCCCTGAGGCTTTCGGGTCACGTGACCCGCTCTTCCGCACAGAGCTACAGTAGAGAGGAGACAGGGAGGGGAAAGCCAGGAAGGCAGGTGCAGGCCCGCCAGAGGCCTGCGAGCGCTCAGGTGTCCTGCAGGTGAGGTCCGGGGGACACAGGGTCATCTTCCCAGCGCCTCTCAGCTTTCCACCAGGGGGTGCTTCCTGGGTGAGTATTTGGAGGTGGGGCCCTGTCCTGGGGGTACACATCTGAGGGGAAGGGCCTGGCAAGCAGGAGGAGCGGGCTTTGAGTAGCTATTTTATTTTATTTTACCTTATTTGTTTTATTTTATTCTTTCAACATCATGAGTTAGCTGATGCTGGCAGCTTGGCCCCTTTTCCGTCTGTCCCTTGTAGACATGTTTGGGCCATATTTATGGGTGGCTTTGTGCAGGAAGGGAATTTGGCCAGACAGAGAAGCCTGTGGGGGTTTCATGGAAGGTCTTTGAGTCAAAAACATGGCTGCTCCTTGTTCCTATGCCTAATGCCACGGTCCTAGACTTCCAGTTTCTCCCATTTCTTTCTCTCTCCTCCTGTTGCCTCTTAGGATGGTGAGTTTTAGAAGAAGGGAATGAGGCAGGCAGGTCTGCCAGCCCCCGGACCCGGGCTGCTCCTGGGCAGGGGCCCGGCAGCTTGCAGGTGTGGCGGGTGCAGGCGTGGTGAGCAGTGGCCTGCGGGGGGCGCTGGGCCTGGGATTCTCATCCGCCCTGCAGCCTGGCAGCTCCCTGCAGTAGCAGAGTGCTGGTGCTTGCTGAGCTCTCCCCGGGTTGAGGCTCTGTCTAGGTTGCTTCTGCGCGTGCACTGCCTGCTTCCGTCCTTGTGGCAGCCCAAGTTACTCCTGCGTCCCAAGCCACGTGGTGACCAGTGGGGCTGGGTGAAGTGACCCTCCCCAGGCAGATGGTAAGGGGCAGCTGGGTGGAACCTGACCAGCTCGTCTCTGAAGCTGCTGTCCTACAGGGCGGGGCGGGGCTTCCGGATGTAGAAAGGTGGGAGCCTTCATGGAGAGTGTCGCCCTGACCTCATGGTGGGGGTCGAGTCAGCACAGGTGCATCGACAGGACTATGTAAAGCTCCAGGCTGTGTGACAAGGTCTGTAGGAAACCTAAATGAACTTCCTGTTGTGACTTGGGTTCCATCCCTATGATGTACTGTTATAAAAGTGAAAATGTTCCAGAATCCAGAATCCTTCCGGTCCCAAGATTCTATGTAAGGAATACCGAGCAGGTATAGCGACGCTCCTTACTCTGCAGACACTGTGAGCTCCGCCGGCTTCCGGCTCGGGGTCCTGTGCCTTTTCACGTGCTAGCCCTTCGCCGGTCAGCCCAGGTCTGGGCAGTGCAGATGACGGCTGAGGTGCACAGCGGGACTGAGGGGAACACGGCAGGGGCCCGCCCCATGGTGGTCTCCTCGACCTGCAGGAGGATTTTCACACAGTTGGTGGTCAAGCTTACTCTTTTGGAGACAGCATCGTGAGCTCAGCACCACGTGGCTCCAGTCAGGAGCAGACTGGTGGGACCGTTCTCCTGGGGAGGAAGCTGGTGGCACATGCAGAGGTGGGAGGTTGGGGCCTTTACGCTGGGCAGGTGCCTCACTTCATGCTGTGTCTTCAGTGAAAGCACTTTGGAGCTGGGGAGGTTGCTCAGGGGTAGAACATTGCCTGCCCTGCACTGGGACCTGGGCTCCATCAGCAGCACCTCAAAAGCTCAACAAAAAAGTAGGACTCACCTTTGTAGATCATAAGTTAGCCACATCTGAAATTTTCATGTTTTTGTAGTTCAGAATGAGAGGATTTATGTTCCATAGTGAATACTGACTTTTTAAAATAAAACTTTTATTTATTTATTTTAAAATGCATTTGGCACAGGCTCTCACTTCACAGCTCGGACTCATAGTGATCCTACTGTTTGCAGCCTCACCGGTGCTGGGATTACAGGTATATACCGCCATGCTCTGACTCGGTGGCCAGCTCAGCCTGCCCAGGGGCTGGCCTGGCATGGCAAGTGATGCCAGGATTGAACCCTAGTCCTCCCACTTGCCTAAGCAGGTCCTTAGTCCACTGAGCTGTCGAGCTGGCACTAAAATAAAACTGTTACAAAGATCTGTAAAAGGCCTCTACAGAAAGAGAAGCTAGACCTATACCTGCCCTGTCCATTTGAAAACATACAAAGGATCTCTTTTTATTGGAAAGAAATTTTGGTACTCTATTTTTTCCCTTGAATTGGTATTTCCATTTTACATCTCCATAGAGTTATTACCTATTATGATGTTTTTAAGCTTGGAATTCTTTTACTGATTATTTGCCAAACTTCACGATACCAAAATATAAAATTGAAATTTTAATTCTGACTTGACTTTATGGGTGTATAAAGCTTTAAGTGCTAAATTTTTCCAGTTGAATTGCCACTAAAATTATTAATGCACATTTGAATCATTTTTAAAATGTACTGGAAAAGCGTTTCAGAAATCAATTGGGCTATAAAAAATTAGTTCGTGTACCTACGTATAGGTATTATTTACTTTGAGAGTTAAACTGGATTAAACACCAATTCTATTTCTATTTCTCATGAATATGTGCTGAGAAAATTTGTTGCTCTAAAGAGGAAAAAGGAGGTAGGTAGCATTAGAGGTATTTTTGTCACAGCTGCGCAGTTTCTTTGGATTCAAGTTGCATACCCAGAGTTACATCTTGATTTTACACCAAGAGTAATTTTGAATGGCTTTGTTGACATTTCATTAACTCTCAGAATTGCTGGAAGTAGCCGGTCTAAAGGCGTTCACGTCCAGTCCCGGATGGCACCTCCTTCTCCTCTGCTGGGGATCAGACTGAGAAGTTTGCCAAATTCACCAGGAACTGCCAATTGCGCCTGCTATTGTTATTTTTTTAACTTGAAGGCAGCTTGTTCATGAGACATGGACAAAGGTAGTGAAAACAAAAATAGGGCTAATTTATTTGTACAGTAGTAAATTCATTCTTCACATATACCTATGTGTGTTTCTCGTATACCTTAGTAATTTTGTATACTAAGAGGAGACTTGGGCTACTCTGCAAACAAGGAATCTCCTAGGATCTCCTTAGCAGAGTGGCCTTCCTGGAGCGCATCAGTCAAACTAGCCTCACTTTCTGTGAGAAAAACTTTTGCTTTTTAAAGTCCAAATAAGTTTTAATTTGCATTTTAAGGAAAAAGTTGAAAGCGCTAAGAAGCAGTGATAAATTACATAAAGCAGTTTGTGGTTTAGCTGTTTTAAAAAAGGTAGAGATTTAAAACAAGTTATTATTTTTGCACTGTCATAAAAGCATGACAAGTTCTTTCACTTTTTTAATTTCACTTCATGTGAGTGTAATATAAGGAACACATAGACTTAGGAGGTATTTCAGGGTGAACATCACGGCGTAAAAGCAAGCTGTTTTTCTGTGGAATGCAGCGAGTGCAGCGTGGTGTGTGGCTTCCGAGCGTAATGAAGGCACCCGTGCAGGCCCTCAGAGGGAGCCGCGCTTATTTCCCAGGACTTCCGCGGCGCTGCGTGGGTTTGGGATGCGTGTATGACGGGGAGGCTGCTGCACACGGCCCTGCAGAGCCGGCAGCAGAGGCTTGTTCAGAATCTAAACTATGAAATGTTTTATGAGGATTAACTACCACTGGAAGAACTACTATGTAAGTGAATATTTACTCAAACAGACTTTATCTCTCAGTACAGCACACCGAATCTAAACCAGGCCTCATATTTTTATTGGCGGGATTCTTCTGGTATAATTAGAAAAAATTACAAAGCACTGGGCTGCGAAGAGTGTCAGGAATAGCTTCCCTTGAAGACGCTGGAAAGTCCTTTCCTTGTGGGCTAGTGTCCCGTCTGAGCGTAAGGATCCATGCTTACCAGCACAGAATGGCTGCGCCTCGGTGAACTTGCTTTCGTGTGTAGCGTTACCAGTTGCCCTCTCTGTGTGGCTTCCCTGTGAGATGCATGCCGGGACTGTGGGGGAGGGAGTGTAGGGCTTGAACTGTTCTTACAACACCCACAGAGGACTGAGGCATTCCGTTTCTGCATACTCTCTCCATTGTGGATATGGTTGTGGTCCCTAGCACGCAGACTGGACCTTTCTAGATGTGGACCTCACTGTGTGAAAGTGTGACCTTCGGGGGAAGAGTCAGGGTGACCCCGCTTCGAGGTAGCTCACTTGTGTGCCTTTGGCCAGTATTTTCTGTCCTTCAGCTTCAGCTCTACCTTTGAAATCAAAACAGGTGACTGTGGCTTACAAATCATTTCGGTGTGAGCCTTTGGTGTGTGCACGTTGGTGCGCTGAGCCCGCAGCGTCTGTGCAGGCCAGGACTCCTGTGGACACCAAAGCCCAAGGGTCTTCGCGGCCCTCAAGGAAGACAGCATCCTCTCCAGTGACCTCGGGTACCTGGTGCAACTTAAATAGCTGTCATGTGGTGCTTTTTAAGGGAATAACACTGGAGTAAAGAGCCTGCGTGTTTTGCACAGATGCACCATTTCTTGGGAGTATTTCCAGTCAAGGTTGGTCGTGCCCATGGGCTCAGAGCCTGCACGCGGCGCGGGCTGAAGCGGTGCACTCGGCAGTGCTTGAGTCAGTCAGTGTTCACTGGAGAAACAGATCTGCTACAAGACATATAAATATACATGAGGATGTACAAGACAGGCCGGCAGTGGCCGCCTGCAGAGCCAGGTGTGGAAGGGTGCACCGGGGCCGTTTGCATGCTGGAGAGCTGAGCTGGCCAGTCAGAGGCCGAGGAAGGCCTGGAGCGCACTGTGGTCTCGAGCGGGTCCATGTCAGGAGGCTGAAGGAAGCCAGGAGACAAGGTCGAACACTGCTCCCGAGAGACAGGAGGAGCCTCCTTGTTTTCTTTTATCCCATTCAGGCGTCAGAACGGTTGGTTGGTGCCACCCGCACGTGGACGGGCTCCCCACCACCCACACCCAGGACTCTGCTAAGTGGGTGAGTGGGGGCGTCTCATGCAGGCACACACTCGACCCCTGCAGCAGACCAAGTGACCCAGCCGCTGCCCTGCTGCCCCACCGTTGAGCACACGCAGCTTCAGGGGTACGAGGCTGGACAAGGGTGACCACGCTGCACTGGGCTGCAGAGAATATCTCAACTCTGAGAGTTTCCTCTAGCGTAGCTGCGTATTCTGGACAGTTGGCAATTTCTGGT